TAATAGATGTACAACATTATTCTTTTCTAACACATGTATTGAACTGATTTGTGTATGAAACATTTATTGCACTGATTAGTTTTAATAGATGTACAACATTATTCTTTTCTAACACATGTATTGAACTGATTTGTGTATGACACATTTATTGCACTGATTAGGTTTAATAGATGTACAACATTATTCTTTTCTAACACATGTATTGAACTGATTTGTGTATGACACATTTATTGCACTGATTAGGTTTAATAGATGTATAATGCAAGATGCTTTGTAAGAAACTTTGCTGACGGAGCAGGTAACAACTCAATACAATTTCAAAGAAATTGGTACAGTAAATGTTGACCAGTACAAAAATGGTACAACAGATGTTTTGAAATGTAACTTTCTGTTGACTGGTAGGAAAATGGTAAAATACATGCTTGGAGATGCAACTTTCTGTTGACCAGTAAGAAAATGGAACAATACAATGACACAGTTGCCATGACATCATATCACTGTAGTAAATGATACAATGACACAGTTGGTATGACATCATATCACTGTAGTAACTGATACAATGACACAGTTGGCATGACATCATATCACTGTAGTAACTGATCCAAAGGGGCAAATAATCTATCAATGTACACTTGCTGTTCATGTGTAACAAATCACAGTAGTCTAACATACAGGGTAACAAATCACAGTAGTCTAACATACAGGGTAACAAATCACAATAGTCTAACATACAGGGTAACAAATCACAATAGTCTAACATACAGGGTAACAAATCACAATAGTCTAACATACAGGGTAACAAATCACAATAGTCTAACATACAGGGTAACAAATCACAGTAGTCTAACATACAGGGTAACAAATCACAATAGTCTAACATACAGGGTAACAAATCACAGTAGTCTAACATACAAAATGGTGAAAAGTTGTTGTATGTTCAGTTCACTAATATCTTTGCTAACAATGTTTTATGTATACTTTGTTAGGTATTATCAACTTGTCTTGCTCTGTGCATCTCGTGTTATGTTATGTTCCAACAGATTCTCCACCACAGTCAAATGTATTTTGTTCTTTGCCTGAAGTGGGCCTAAGGTAAAATAAATCAATATATTAAAAGTGTATAAAGCATTTTTATCTACTTCTTTTCAGTGATTAATTGTATTACTAAAAGTATAAAACATTAAATTAGGATCTGAAGTTCAACTTTTATTATCTGGACATTATATTATAACCATTATGTCATTAGGCTTCTCAAGTCTAATGTTAACATTAACGGATTAATATGAGGTCGTTTCACTGCGTATTTTGTTTACGGTGCCAAACTACAAATTTAATGATAATTATAATTCTTATGTCAAACTGTAGTATATAAATCAAAAGTCCAGTGTAAGCTGTAATGAAGTAAGATGAATGAGGTTGGAATATCCATTAGAACAGTTACAGTGTATTGGTACCTTAAAATACTAACCTAGTCTTAATCGATTCAAGGTTGTTTTCAAGTTCCATGGTTTCTGTAATAGTGTTGAATATTATAGCAGATGGAATGTTAAGAGAGATTACAGTCACGAGATGTTGGAGCAAAACTGAGAAATATGGGAGGTAAGTGAAGAAACGTGAAGGTCAAGAAATATGAAAAGAAAGATATGAGAGACATGGGATGGATGTCCTAAAACAAAGAAAATGCACTCTAAAAAAATAAACAGGCAAATCATGAGTAGTAATAAAAACCAGTGATGAAACATCAATACAGCAACAAGAGAGGGAAATTTTATATGCAAAAAAAATCTTCAAGCTGAAAGAGATAAAGCTTTAAAAAAAGTCGATGAACTAAAAGAGACTGTAAAAGAAAGCACCCTCGCTTCTCCTGTCGTAGAAGACAATGAAAAATAATGAGAGAAGGAGAATGATATTGGTTGTTTATTGACATTGTGAAACTACATTACAATGTGAAGGAGAATGATATTGGTTGTTTATTGACATTGTTAAAACTACATTACAATGTGAAGGAGAATGATATTGGTTGTTTATTGACATTGTTAAAACTACATTACAATGTGAAGGAGAATGATATTGGTTGTTT